TTGTGGAGACGGAAATGGGGATTAGTATGACGTTTCCAGGGAACTATAGCGCGTATGTGGCGGCGAAGGCGGAATGGATCGAGGCGCAGCGGATGGCGTGGGAGCGGCAGCAGAAGGAGATTGCGCGCACGGAGGATATGATTGCGCGGCTGCAGGGAGGGGGGAACGCGGGGCGCGCTTCTTCCGCTGAGAAGGTGAGGGAGCTGTGGAAGGTAGGCGGATGGGGGAAGTTAACGGGGAAGAGGATAGGATTGCGCGGCTGAAGGGAGCGGGGAACGCGTGACGCGCTTCTTCCGCGGAGAAGGTGATGGGGAGAGGGCGAAGGTGAGAAGCATGTGGGAAGAAGGGGCGAGAAAGAGACGGTTTTGCTGTCGCTTTCCCTTCCGCTTCCCCTTTCGCTTCCCCTTCCGCTTCCTCTTCCGCTTCCCCTTCCGTCCATCCATGCTATCCGCTTCATCCCCTCCCCCCTTCCCCCCTCCAACCCCCTCAGGCACTAGAGTGGCTGCAAGAGGAGGGCGCGGTAGAGAAACCGTTCGAGCGCAAGCAGATGCGGTTCCGCTTCCCCTTCTGCCCATCGCTGTTACCCACTTCGCTGCCCCTCCCCTTTTTGTTCCCTCCTCTCTCTCCCCATTCCTCAGGCGCTGGAGCGGCTGCAAGAGGAGGGCGCGGTGGAGAAGCCGTTCGAGCGCAAGCAGATGCGGTTCCGCTTCCCGGAGCTGGAGCGCAGCGGTCGCATCACAGTGCAGATCGCGAACCTCTCGCACAGCTACGCCAAGCGCAGCGCCGGCGGGGAGGAGCAGCTCAATGTGTTGTTCGACAAGGCGAAGCTGCAGATCGAGCGGGGGGAGAAGCTGGCGTTCATCGGGCCGAATGGGTGTGGGAAAAGCACGCTGCTGCGGTTCATCATGGGGTTTGAGGAACCGGAGCACGGGATCGTGGCCCTGGGGGAGCACCGGGTTGTCCCCAACTACTTCGCCCAGAACCAGGTGCGTCACGGGGGAAGAGTATGCAGTGGGCTATGGGGTTACGGGGTGGGAGAGGAGGGAGGTAGAGGAATGGGAGGCAAGAGCACGCTACTGCGGTTCATCACGGTGTTTGAGGAGCCCGAGCTCGGATTGTTTCCGCCTCCTCTCCCCCACGCCCTATCCCTGTCGCGCCTTCCCTGGTCCTTCATTTTTCCCCATCCGTCGCAGGCGCTGGACCTAGACAAGACGGTGCCGGAGTGCAGACGGTGGAGGAGGTGGCGGAGGGGTGTGTGGGCCTGCTGCAGTGCTCACTCCCGCCCCTCTTCCGTGTGTATCTCTCTGCCCTCTCCCCCCTCTCCCCCCTCTCCCCCCATCAGGCGCAGGCATTGGATCTAGACAAGACGGTGTTGCAGACGGTGGAGGAGGTGGCGGAGGGGTGTGTGGGCCTGCTGCAGTGCTCACTCCCGCCCCTCTTCCGTGTGTATCTCTCTGCCCTCTCCCCCCTCTCCCCCCTCTCCCCCCATCAGGCGCAGGCATTGGATCTAGACAAGACGGTGTTGCAGACGGTGGAGGAGGTGGCGGAGGGGTGGAAGATGAACGACATCAAGGCGCTGCTGGGCAGGTAGGTTCCGGCATTGGCGTTTGTTTGCTGGGGCAGGCGTTTACTGGGGCAGGCGTTTACTGGGGCAGGCGTTTACTGGGGCAGGTGAGCAAGTTCAATTATTCGAGCTTGTTTCCCCTTCCTCCCCTTTCCCCCTATCCGCCCCGGATTTTTTCACATAAACCTGTTCCCCTCTTGTTCCCCCTCTCGTCCCTCCTGTCGTTCACTCCTGCTTTGATTTCCCTTCCGATTTCAGGAGCAACAGTTCAGCTTGTCTGTTCCCCATCTTCCCCCTTCTACCCCCTCCTCCCATTTCATCGCAGGTGCAACTTCAAGGGCGACACGTTGAGGCGGAAAGTGGCGTTCCTCAGTGGTGGCGAGAAGGTGAGCGAGTTTGCAGGGTGGGGGAGGGGAGGCGAGGGGAGGCTTTGAGGGGAGGGGGCTGTGAAAGGCGGTGGCTTGGGTTGGTGTCATCGCAGGTGCAACTTCAAGGGCGACACGTTGAGGCGGAAAGTGTCGTTTCTTTGTGGTGGCGAGAAGGTGAGGTGCAGCGGGTTTGGAGTGACAGTGATTATTGGTGGAGGTAACGTAAGTTGATGTTACTTGGGGAGAATGTGTTTGTAAAGGGGGAATCGTAGGACAAGAGGAGTGGTAGGTGAACGGAATGTGAGGCAATGTGGGAATCCATATGCTGCCTATCCTTCTCTCCCCCTTCTTCCTGGCGACTTGCTTTCTGCTGCTGCCATGCCTTTTGCAAGCTTATCTCAGAATCCATCTCGTTGTTTTCTGCCCCCCGATTACCGCCTCTTCTGCTGCCCCCCAGGCCTGCCTCGCTCTATGCAAGTTCATGGTCACTCCGACAACAGTTGTTAAATCCTCTCCCCCTGCCTCCTCTGCCCCTCCCCCCCCCCCCCCCTCCCCCCCCCCTGCACCCCCTCCCCCCTCGCCACCACCAGGCCCGTCTGGCGCTGTGCAAGTTCATGGTCACCCCAGCGACACTGCTCGTGCTGGACGAGCCAACCAACCACCTGGATATCCCCACCAAGGAAATGCTCGAGGTGGGTTGAGATCGGTGGCGAGGGGTGGACGGGGGTGGTGGGGGAGTGGAGGGGGGTGGGGAAGCTGTAAAGTTGGGCCTCTGGGTGGTGTGAGAGTGAAATTCGCTGCTGCTGGTGCTGTAACGAGCCAACTAACCACCTGGATATCCCCACCAAGAAAAAGCTCGAGGTGAGGGGTGGTGAGGGGTGGTAGGGGGTGTAATGTTGTGTGGGAGTTACTTCATTCATACCGAGGAGTTACTCCTTTCTCCCGGCCCTTCCCCTCCCAACCCCACCCCCACCCGAACCCGCACCCCCACCCGTTCCATCCACAGGAAGCGCTGCGGGAGTTCATAGGGACGGTGCTGGCCGTGTCTCACGATCGCTACTTCCTGCGGCAGATTGTGAGCCTGTTCTTACCGTCTCTACCCCTCCTTTCCTCTTTCTTCCCGTTCCCTCCCTCCACAGGAAGCACTGAGGGAGTTCACAGGGACGGTGCTGGCAGTGTCGCACGATCGCTACTTCCTGCGGCAAATTGTGAACCGAGTGGTGGAGGTGAAGGAGAAGAAGCTGCAGGACTACAGTGGTGACTATAACGTGAGTGGGGCCTGTGACTGTATGGATGGTGACTCTAGCATGGGTAATAGTGGTTGTAACGCGAGTGAGTGAGTGGTTTGAGTTTCAACAGAGTGCTACCTCACATCAGATTGTGAACTGAGTGGTGGAGGTGAAGGAGAAGAAGCTGCAGGACTACAGCGGTGACTATAACGTGAGTTGGGCCTGTATAATGGTTGACTATAGTATGGGTCAATAATGGTTGTAACTTGAGTGAGTGGTTTGAGTGTCGTGTGTCGTGTCATACCAGGTAGTGAACCGAGTGGTGGGGTGCAGGAGCTGGAGAGAGAGACTTGAGTCTGAGACATCTCTTCGCCCCCCGTCCCCTCCCCATCTTCCCCCCCTCCTTTCCCCCCACCAGTACTACCTGGAGGCGCGGCGCAAGGAGGCGGAGGGACTGGGACTGAGACATTTCTATGTGCTGACTGTTGCTGCTCGTTGCCGACGAATCCCCCCATTCCTCCATCCCCTCTCTCCCTCCTCCACCAGTACTACCTGGAAAAGAACCTGGAGGCGCGGCGCAAGGAGCTAGAGAGGGAGTCGGAGGTGGAGGCGGCTGCTCCTGTTGTGAAGGCCAAGAGCAAGATGAGCAAGGTGAGGTGGGGAGATGAGGAAGGTGGGGGGATGAGGGGAGTGAGTTCTGGGGTAATTGATTGCTCTGAGGTCCCTGAAAGCCAAGGCGCAAGAAGGTGGAAAGAGAGTCGGAGGTGGAGGCTGCTGCTCCTGTTGTGAAGGCGAAGAGCAAGTTGAGCACGATGAGGGGTGGGATGAGCAAGGTGGGGTGAAGCCGGATTTTGGGGTTCAGATGTGGAGAGCAAGAGGACCCACCTGCTCAATTCTCCTGCCTAACTTACCTGCCCAATTCACCTGCCTAGCCCACCGTTCAGAGCGTGTGCTATTCAGAGTCATACTAACCCCCTCTGTCCAACCCACCTGTACCATGCCCAAGTCTGTGCTGCTTGGAATCTTCATTCCTTCTCCCCCATTCTCACCACTCCCTTCACCACCCTGCTCAACCCCCCCTTACTCAACCCTGCCTGCTCATCCTCTACCCCCCCCACTTGCTCAACCCCCCCCTGTTCACCCTCCCCCTCCTCACCACCACTCACAGGCAGAGAAGGAGCTACAGAAGAAGCAGAAGGGACACCAGTCCGACCAACCCAGCCAACCCACCCCTCTTTCCTCCCTCTCCCTCGCCCTCACCTGCTCCCCGCCACTGACAGGCGGAGAAGGAGCTGCAGAAGAAGCAGAAGGCACAGGCATTTCAGACCAAGCAGTCGCAGGGGAAAGTGGCCAAGAACGCCAAGCGATGGTCGTAGGGGCGTGGTTGACGGGAGGGAGATATTGAGAGAGATACGACGAGTGTAGCTACCTGCTACCAGACCTGTCATGGATTTTAGTAGGAGGCTTTTAGACTTTGAGCAGGGTGGGTGGGATGGGCAGCTTAGGATTCTGGAGCATTTGGTAAGTGTGAAACGCAAGGTACCATATCGTAGGTAAAATCTGCTGTTAAATTTCCCTTGTGGACGTATGAAACAGACTTCTCTGTGCATAACTGCTTGATTTTTGTATACGGCACAGGCCAGCTTGAGTCCAGCATCAGGTAGAAAATTTAGTTAATATTTACCTCAAGTGATAGAAGCTAATTGGATTCACTTCGATATAACAGTACCGTAACACAGAAAGTATCTCACACGACGACTAATCCCACAGCCCACTATAAAAAACACAGAAGGTTACTACGCTTTATCTCTTTACAGAGCACAATATACAATGAACAAGCTAATTGGCAGCTCGTCTGCCTAAAGCAGTAAACGAAGAGGCTACAGTGGTGCTGAGTTCAACTGCCCGCGCTGTTTCGTCGTCCAATGAGCGCGCGCGGATAAACCGGCAGAGGCTGCAGTCGGAGTGGAGCAGCGACGAGACTTGGTAGTCGTCTACAGTGCCGTCAATGAAACCGTCGGCGTTGTCACCAGGCACCACGTACGCGTTAAAGAGCTTGCTGTACACCAAGGCCTGCTTCTCCCTGTGGAAATAATGGCGGACAGAAAAAGAGACAAGGGACTTGAGTTCAGGAAGCACAGCATTACTGAATGAGTCAAAACAGGTTAACAGAGACTAATGAAGTGAGTGGGTATTGAATGAGAACTGGGGATGACGAGGAATGCAGAAAGGAAACAAGGCCAGACTCATCAAAGGGAATAACGATAGAAAGTGGCGAAGAGGTTGGACTGAAGGAATATTGGAGAATGGAAAAAAATAAGGCAGAAACTTACAATCGGCCGGCGAAGTCCGGGCGGTAAGTTTGACCAAGGACGCCGTGGACGTTAGCCGACAGCCTGGCGCTCATAACCTCCACCGTGAAGTGAACCAGTCCATCTTCAATCGTTCGCATCATTTCGATCTCTGGGCGAAGGGTCAGCCGCAAAGAGAGGACGTCTGCGACTGTAACTTCATATTCGTCAACTAAATCGCCACCGGAAGGCTTCGCACCAGCAAGCCACTTCACTTCGCCTTGCCCATCAAACAGGTACATCTTTTCGCCAGGGAATTTGAGCTTCTTCGCCACGCCGTCGACGGTCAACGAAGCGAGGTAACCCTTGCGATATTTCGGGTCGGGGCCTTCGCGAGCCTCGAAGATGATGGAGTGGTGGCCCCAAAGAATCGCAATCTTTCGCATCCACGTCAGCGCCTTTCGCTCATTGTCCATCCAACGAGCCCAGCGACCTCCAAAGAACGCGTTCACTTGGACATGCGAATCCGTAATCAGGGCGAAGTTTTCGTTAGGGATGCCACTGAAATCGAAGCGAGACTTGTCCGCGCCAACGAAATGAGGGTCGCCGGTAACATTGCTGTCGCAAATCTTGCCCACGTAGAATCGTGATTCCGGCTGGTAGTCGCCGGTTGTGTCGGTAAAGCTGTCCATCGTGTTATCGGGGTTGAAGTGTTCGAGTGTGCACACGCCTTCATCGAAGCACGCGCATACACCTGCAAACAAAACAGAACCAAATAATGAACGAGGCGAGCAAATATATTAGGCGTCTTGTTTAAAATGCGAGGAATGGGAGAAACTATGGATGGAATCCTGTACTTTGACAACCTTCTAACACCCAATAACGACGCAAGGTATCCTTGCCAGATGCTATCGACCAGCTGCTGCACCTGAGCACCTGAACCATTACACCTGCTGGTCCTATCCTAGCAAATGCTACACGGAAAATACAACGAGATCCAACACAGTTCACGTGGTTTCGAATAGCTCCGCAACTGCACCACGCACCTCCAATGTCGCACGTCTCCTCGTACTGCCAGTAAGTCACCGGGTCGCTGGGGTTCTCCTTGTTAAAATCGCTGCACACCTTCCAGCAGTCGTAAAACGGGTCGGTCAATAACGGATCCCACGCCGGGGAATCCGTGTCGTTGAAGACAAACGGCATGGAATATTTGAACATGTACTCGATGTCCTCCGAGTCGCTATCGGTGAACATTCCCTTCTCGTACGCTCCGGGCTTGCATCCGAAACTAGGGCACGCCCCGAAGGCTGAGCCTTCCTGGCCAGGGTACGGCTTTTTGGAGATATCGACGGCAGTTGCGGCGACGAGGCACGGGATGACCAGAGCGATTATAAATGGGAGAGCGCGACGCGGTTCCATGGCTACAGTGTGATTACACTAAACGGTCTGCGCTTCGAGCGACGTTGCCAGTACTATTTGACGCCTAAGACCAACTGTTACCTCACTATGCTAGCAACCTAAGAGTAGAACAGCACTGAGAAGGAGAACAGAGTGGAAGAGGAGAGGAGAAGAGAGAGAGGGCAAAGAGAGGGCAGAGAGAGAGGGCAGAGAGAGAGGGCAGAGAGAGAGGGCAGAGAGAGAGGGCAGAGAGAGGCACCGATTTCTCAGATCAGAAGCAAGGGTGCACTCTACCACCACCAGGACAATGTACTGTGCAGCACTAGTCATGGCACAGCGCCCCAGTGATATGGGCCGGAGAGCACAATCAAGAGGGCTGGCTGTCACTGTTCAGTTCGGCCGTTCAGAGGCACCGCAGGTGGGTTTCAGAATAGGCGCCAGGCAGCTGGAAATGCGGATGGAGGAAAACGATTGGGTTTGGGAAGTCAGCAGAGGAGATTGGGTCTATTAGGAAGTTTCCCATCACGTTTACTGACCAGTATCTGAGTACGTATGACAGGGGATTTGTGTAGTGTGTCCGCCAAATTTTCATGTTTTTGAAGTCCGTGCAGGCCATTTGGCTAAGTGCCACCACCGAGAGCAACCAGGAAAACCAAACCACCCTCCAAAGCATGATTGCATTCCAGTTCCGTAACTGCTCAGCAACAAAACACCAAGGTTTATCGCTGGACGATGCGATGAAACCAAGAAACAGTCCTTCCTCACTACTGTGTCAGGTGGTTTTGCTAGCTTCCTCTGCTGTCGTTTTGTTCATCACGTTTCAGTGCAATCCACGCCTACCTGAGAAACAATGTGGCGAAGGCTACGCATATTGTGTCAGTATTTCTCAAAACAACGAGATTGACAATAGAAACGGGCGGTATAGTTTGTCATTTAGAGGCATGAAATGACAGGGCACGGTCAGCATTCGACTCTGTGAGGTGAGGTGAGGTGTGATGGAAACGGATAGGGCGGCAACAGCTGGTTTGCGTTTCGTCAAGGCACTACTTCCATAACCATACGAGTACACTTTCACAATATCTCCGTCTCGACTAATCATGTCAAGCATCGATATTAACAGGCTCCCTTCCATGTAAATGGTGTTACTTGACAGCGGGGATTATCTTCCCCATAACTTTTGCCTTCTTCTCTGACATTCAAAGAATGACTTGAACGACCCTCGAGAATACCGATTCGCGTATTTTTCTGTGACGTCGCCGCGCTGTCTGATTACTTACAAGCAGCTATTCAAATACTTCCAGACGCGCTTCCAGTCAGATTTTTCCGCTTTTTCAGGTTCGTAGTCCTTTGATTCTAGAATTTTCAAACAGACCATTCGTCAAGCTGCTGATAAGTACACACCGCGTTTGTGAAATACAGGCCAGGAGACATCGAAGCTGTTATCGACAGGGTTGCGTTACACCAGCCAGCCTCCGTAGCTTCTCCGACCGAAAGCCTCTTTCCGGCAGACACGAGCAGCATTTCTCTTTACTCTTTGAGAAGAATCTCGAGGTGTCATTCACTCCTGCCAGCATTTCTCGTTACCCTTTAGTACCGAACCGCATAAGCCATCATCAACTCTAAGCGCAAAGGTTAACTCTCAACACCCGCCAATGACGGCGCGAATGCTGGCAATGGATGGGTTCTTAGAGCCACCACATTGAGGATTACACCTTGTTGCCACGTGTCACCTTCCCATTGGCGAATCATGGGAGCATGTCTTTCCACCAAGTCATCATCCAACGGTGGCAAACAGCGTACGTCAGGCTAGGATCTCTCGTGCTCTCGTGGCGTGATGTAACGTACGTCTGGCGTACATTTCACGTACGGCCGTCTGAGGGAAGTAATCATGAATGTAATCATGCTGTTCTGAAAAGACGAAATTAACACCAGGCTAGGGTTTGCTGTACGTCCCATTTCCACATTCTTCTTTCCCACTTACGTGCTCCAGTTTTCCAATTTCTCCCCTTGTTTTCCTTTCCTTCTTACCCCTTAACCATTGTCCTCAACCCCACCCCCCCACCATCAACTTGCAGGCAAACCCGCAGCAGCAACCACTCTCCCCCCTCTCACTGCCTCTCTCTTTTCCGCTTCCGCCAATCCCCCTCTCCCTCCCCCTCTTCCACCCTCTCTTCCTCCCCCTAAGCCGTCCCCCCATCCATCCGCGGAGCACAATTCCCAGCACCCCCTTCCGCCCCAGTACCCCCGACCCGCCCAAACGCTTCCCCTTTGCTCCCAGGGCACTCCCCCTTCCGCGCAACATCTGCCCCCGTCCGCGCAAGACCGTCCCCTTTCCGCCAATCCCCCCAGGAACAAGCCCCCCAAGGCTCCAGGGGGGACGCACCCGCGCAGCCTATCAGCTGGGGGGGAGGAGGAGGCGGGAGATGGAGGGGGGGGACGAGGGGGTAAGGGGAGCACGCGCGGGGGGACTGGGAGGGATGGGGCGGCGGACCTGGGGGGAGGCGGAGGAGGGGGGATTGGGTCTAGAAGGAGATCGCCCGCCAGAATACAGCTAGGGTCGTCTTCACACAGGGCTTCACACAGTAGATCCTCATCAAATAGGTCTTTAAATGGGTATGTTGAGAGAGCATCGCCTGCTAGGTCTTTAGGGTCTCCTGCCAGGTCTATAGATTCTCCTAGCAATCACCATCAGCAGCAACACGATCACCACCAACAGCAGCAGCTGCAAGAGGGGTGTAAATACGGGCAGGGCTTTAGAGAACTACAGCAGGGGGATGGGAACGGGCAGAGGAACGGGCAGGTTGCAAAAAAACGTCTGGCGGGTGTCCCGCGGTCGAATTCCTCTCCGGGAAAATTTCTCGACCTGCCCGACGAGGTCCTATCGGCAATCACCCCTGACTCCCTGCAACGGTTTTCGTACGATGACGTGGCAGCAGCGACCAATGGGTTTGCGCCAGCTCAGCTCATTGGAGAAGGCGGGTTCGGAAAGGTCTATAGAGGAAGCATCAGGGCTGAGTTGATTGAGAGAAGTGGGACTGGGGTGAGAGGAGGGGCAGGAGAGAGAGGAGACAGAGGGGGAGGAGAAGGAGGGGATATGGACCAAGGTGCAATGGGGCAGGAAGGGGTGGGGCAGGGTGCAATGGTGCAGGTGGCAGTGAAGCAGCTGAGGGAGGAGTCGAAGCAGGGAGCGGAGGAGTTCCTGAGGGAGGTGCTGGTGCTGGGTCGGCTGGCCCACGCGCACCTGGTGCTGCTGTGGGGGTACTGTGTGGACGGCGGGGCGTTTCTGGTCTATGAGCTCATGGAGGGGGGGAGTTTGGATTACGCACTCATTGACTGTAAGTGCACTCCAACTCCTTCTGATCCACTTTAAACCGCTTCAAACCGCTTCGAACCCTCCGAGGGGCGTTCCTGGTGTATGAGCTCGTGGAGGGAGGGGGGGAGTTTGGACTACGGCCTCATTGACAATGGGTGATTTGCTTGCATGGACATGGACGGGCACAAGACAGGCACATGCTTGCATATCCCCCACTCACTCCCTCCCTCTCCCCTTCAATCTCCACAGCCAGGTGCCAAGGGGGAACTCCACTTCAGCTGGCCCATGCGCCTCAAGGTGGCAGTAGGTGGCAGAGGCACTTATATTCTGTTTCCGCTCCCCATGCCCTCCTCTCCACTCACCCCATTCTCCCCCCTCACCACAGCCAGGTGCCAAGGGCGAGCTCCACTTCAGCTGGCCCATGCGCCTCAAGGTGGCAGAAACACTGGCCTACATGCCCCTTCTGCTCCCCCTCCCCTCTGCTCCCCCCCTCCTCCGCTCTGCTCTCCTCTCACCCCATCCCCTCCACCACCAGGTGCCAAGGGCGAGCTTTCAGCTGGCCCATGCGCCTCAAGGTGGCAGTAGAGGTGGCAGAGGCGCTGGTCTACATGCACCTTCTGTTCCCCCTCCCCACTCCTCCCCACTCCTCCCCTTCTCCCCTCCCCGCCTCCCCCCTCTTCCAGGCGCCAAGGGCGAGCTGCATTTCAGCTGGCCCATGCGCCTCAAGGTGGCAGTGGAGGTGGCAGAGGCGCTGGTGTACATGCACCGCTGCAACTTCATACATCGAGACATCAAGGCCGCCAACGTGCTTCTGAAGCCGGTGAGTGTGGTGCAGTAAACTCTGGTGCAGCCAACTCAAGCATGCGCCCTAAGAGGTGCCGGTGCAGCGGCAGTGACATTGCAGGTGGCAGAGGCACTGGTCTACATGCATCGCTGCAACTTCATACATCGGGACATCAAGGCTGCCAACGTGCTGCTGAAACCGGTGAGTGCTGATTTATGGGACTTTCTCGGTCCTGGGTTTCCATATGCCCCCCTCTACCCACTTTAACCTTTCAAAACGCAATTGTCCATCTACCCTCACAAATGCCCCTCCACACCCCTCCACATCCCTCCACTGCCTCTCTACACCCCTCCACTGCCTCTCTACACCCCTCCACTGCCTCTCTACTCCCCTCCGCTACCTCTCTACACCCCTCCGCAGGACTACTCAGCAAAGCTGACGGATTTCGGCATGGTGCGGGTGGGTCCGGGGAAGTCAACTGCGGTCAACCATGTCAAGGATTCTTTATTCAACTGAAAAATCACCTCCCTCTACCCCCTCATATGCCTCCTCACATGCCCCTCTAACACACCCCCAATGCCTCAGGACTACTCAGCAAAGCTGACGGATTTCGGCATGGTGCGGGTGGGTCCCGGCGGTCAACTGCGGTCAATCGTGTCTACAAGGATCATGGGCACTGAGGGATACATCGATCCCAGCTATTTAGAGACTGGTAGGTTCTTCTGCCTGTCTAAATGTCGGTCAAAAGTGGTCAACTGTAGTCAACTTAGGTCAATCTTGTCAACCAGGATCATGGGCACTGAGGGGTACATCGATCCCAGATCCCAGCTACCTGGAAACTGGTGCGTTGATGTGTCTGCTTGTTGGTCAACTGCGGTCAACTGCGGTCAAATGTGGTCGAATTCTTGTTGATCATGGTTACAGAGGGGTACATTGATCCTGTTGTGTGTCTGATTGAAGTGGGTTCACCTGCACTGCACTGCACTGTCCTCGAAAAGGGTAACCAGCTGGTAACCGCACGTGTAACCACACTCGTAGCCACACTAAACGATATCCGTGTTCCCCCCCATTCTCCCTCCCACCAAGTCACCTGGGAGCCAAGAGTGAAGTCTACACTTTCGGGTCGATCCTCCTGGAATTTCTAACAGGGGAGAGGGTATTAGAAAAGGGTAACCACACTGGTAACCACACTGGTAACCACACTGGTAACCACACTGGTAACCACACTGGTAACCTAAGTTGCCATATACGCTTATTGCGTATATACGCTTATCGTATATACGCTAGCGTATGCACGCTATCCGCTTAAGGGGTCACTTTGGCCATACGCTATTTCGGGCAGTGAAAAACATTTCCTGGGCAGGGGAAAAAAGCCCCAGGGATGTTTGAGGGGGGATATGTTGGGGGTAAGGCTGTGTGATTTTTTTTTTCCCATAATATGATTCCGACACGATGCGGCCATGCTACAATAATGCTCTCCTACCACCACGACTAAGACATGAGAACATAAACCAGCCTCCCCGCAACATTCCACATGCCCCTCCGCACCTTAAACCTTGTTCTATGCATACTCGTCTTCCAGCACGTCATCCTCGCCTTCCTCCTCCTCCACCTCCGTCTCATCCAACCTGTTGTACCCCTCGGGGATAGAAGGCTCGTCCCCAATCCCTGGCACAAGGTTTGGCATTACAACTGCGCGCGAGTGCCAGTTGCGCACAACATTCCAGTTGTGTGCAACAAAAACCAGGTCCTGGCACTTTGCAGATCCGAGGCGGTTCCGGCGGGCTGTGTGGACTGCATCCCAAGTTCCCCACCCACGCTCACAAGGGGATGCCGATACAGGCTGCGAGAGCACCCTCACGGCGAGAGACATCAGGTGAGGTGCATCTGTGCCGTTCCACTGCCACCACTTCACCATGCTGTATTTACCCGCCTTCACCTTCTCCCTTTGTGCAAGCGCCTCCGGCATCCCGAAACTTCCTTTCAGGTCCAAGAAAGCCCTCAGCCCGTCACCCAAAGCAAGCAAGTAATCAAGACCCTCCTCCCTCCCCTTCCCGTCGTGGCCGATGAGGAACTCCACATGCTGGTTGATAAATGCCTTGGAATCCCGGGTGCATTCGGCGTCACTGCCGAAGATGTCCTCCTCCTGGTTGGCGGGGTTGAGGATTCGGCCAGCAACGTGCATGGCGCAGGCGAGGTTGTTATCCCAACGGTTCTTGATTATGCGACAGATCTGCACCTTATCCGTGCTACTCAGCTGCTGCTCATCCTCGTTCAAGAGGTTGTTGACATCCTCCGAAAGCTGCAGCATTACATCGTAAAGCCGGCCCATCATCCCCTTGGCATCTGCATCCGTCTGCCGCATCGCCTTGTAGGGCAGTTTCATCAGCTTGCAGAAGAATTCAGCCGTCCGCCACCATGCGGCATCGAGGACCCGAACAGCAAAGGTCTCGGCAGCTTCCTTCCGCGACCCCACGGCCCACTCCTCCCACCGGTCGGTAAGTACCATCGCGTCCAGGGTGCTACGCAACTCACAACGGCAGGACACAGCAATTTACTGTGTCTCGAACCGTGTTCCCGCCGGCTTCAGCGGCTGCAGCACCTTCCCCTCCACCAACTCCGGGGTCCTCATGATGGTTGCGCACGAACGAAATCATCTCCCCAGTCCGATCCACCACCCCTTTTGCCCACCCCATCTTTCCCACGGCCTCCTGGAGGAGATCCATCACATGCGTGGCACAAGGGACCTGCTGAATGTGGGGCCACTTGGCAATCAGCTCCTGGACAGCCACGGCATAGTTTGATCCCCCATCCATACAAAACGCGACCACATTTTCTGGTCCTACCTCCTCCACCATCGGCTGCAGAATCCCCGCTACGTATCCCCCCGTCTTTCGCTCCATACCGCAGTCGATCGCCTCCTTGAAGACGGCGCCGGAGTCGTTAATCAGAAGGACGTTCGCTTGCGCCCTCCCACATTTGTCCTTCATCATGTCGGACGCAATTGTTACCCCCGTCTTCTTCCAGCTCGTTTTAATCCCCATCGGCCCCTGCTCAATCCCTTAGCGGACAGCGACCAGTCCAGCCCCGCCAATGAAGCTCCTCTTGAGGGGGACGTAGCCGGGGCCGGCGCGGTTGACGAGCAGCATGGCGTTGACGAACAGCGGGTGGTTTATGGTGATCTCTGGGATTTTGCAGGCCGCAAACATCAGCGCAAGGCCCTCGTGAGCATCCGGCTTAGCCGCAGGAGCATCTCCCTCTAAGTAGTCGGTTATGTGCCGCTTCCCACCGCCAGCCTGGACCGCCGCAACCGCAGCAGATGTTGCTCGGCGCTTTTCCTCGTTCGCGGCAGCCAGCTTTTCGTATTTGGTGCGCATCTCCTTGCGTACGTCTTGCGGTGCCTCCTTGCAAAGCGTCACCTCGCGACACTTCATTCCCTTCCACGAGCTCAGGTGCTGTGCGCAACGAATGGCTGCATCGGTGAAAACATTGAAGCAGTACTTACACTCGTACTGCTGGGCTTTCCCTTCAACCCGCTTAATGATGCTGAAATGTTTGAAGACAGCGTGGTCCATGTCGGGAAGGTACTCCCTACCCTCAGGTCGAACACTCCGGGAATTCTGCCTCCGAACGGATGGCGGTGTGCATGGCAGGCTAGACATAATGAACGAGACAGGAAACTGATGAATTGCGTAGTTGCGTGCAACCAACTAAATAGCACAACGAGAGAAGGGAACATTGAGACAAGTGGTTGGAGAGAGTAGATGGGAGGGGATTGAATGCGGTAACAAACAGAGCGCACAATGTGTGAACGTGAAAATGCGACTTGTAAAATTGACACCACCAATCGCGACTACGTGGGTTGAACCCACGTCCACGATTGGACAAGTCACGTACGTGCAATTCGCCTTCGGCAAAATGCACGCCGTGAAATTCCACATCTTTCCGTATATCGAATTTTTTTCCGCCCGGGCTGCCCCAAAACAAATTTGTCGAGCGTATAGCGGATTCGCTTGCGCAAACAGGTCTGAGCGTTTTTGGCAACTTAGCTGGTAACCACACTGGTCCACACTAAACCATGCCCTTGTCCCTCCCTTTTTCACTCCACCAGGCCACCTGGGAGCAAAGAGCGACGTCTACTCCTTTGGGGTGATCCTCCTGGAACTGTTAACAGGGAAGCGCGTCCTCGAAAAGGGTAACCAGCTGGTAACCGCATGCCGGCAGCAGTTCCAGGACCTGACTCTCCCCTCACGGCACTATGCGGACCCTAAGTTACATGGAGAGTACCCCGAAGTGGGGGCAAGGCAGCTGGCAACGCTGGCCAAGCACTGCGTGGCGGAGCAACGGCAGGACCGGCCGGATATGGCGATGGTTCTGCAGCAGCTGAAGGAGATCAGGGAGGTTTCTGAGAAAGCGAGCGCTCGAGTAGGAAGAGGAGGCAGCACTTTCTAGAGGGGTTGATTGGGGACGGTTGAATGGGGTTGTGTTGCGGAAAAGAGGCAGCATGTTGCCAGGCACTGCGTGGCGGAGCAACGGCAGGACCGGCCGGATATGGCGATAGTTTTGCAGCAGCTGAAGGAGATCAGAGGGGCTGTTATGCTGCAGGTAAAGGAAGCACTTTCTAAGGCTTCTCAATTGGACATGATTATGTAGCAGCTGAAGGAGATCAGAGAGGCATTTGTCCGAGCAGTTGCTCGAGTGGGTAGAGAGGCAGGACCGGCCGGATATGCAGATGGTGCTGCCGCAGCTGGAGATTAGAGAGGTGTTCCATTAGCGGGGAGTGATCCGAACTGTACATTGGTTTGTAGATTAATAGGCAGTACAAATATCGCTGCAGGATTTGCTCCACGTGGAGAGAATTGATGTGGGTTTAGATAAGCCCTTGAAACAGTTAGAAGCAATACGGCAGGAATGCAAAGTGGAGCAGCATTGTTGGAGCAGCACTGGTTCTTTTTGTACCATATGAACTACATGGCTATGCGCTGCCAGCTCTATGAAGGTAGTAGAGTCTAACCAAGCACTGATTAACACTATCACTGCTAAGTGTTACTAAGAATGTTATTGATGATTTAAACACAAATAGAATGAAATATATTTTGCTAGAGAAACACAAAATGCTCCAGACAATGAGCAACCCGATGCGAGGCAGTCCGTTTGAGCCTGGCGTTTTAAGTGTTACAATGGAACAGATTTGTAAAATACAAGGAAATCGCCTTCGCCAGTTTACAGGGCGTCAATCATGCCCTTCCTGCCGAGGGAACTGTACGACGAGCTAACGGAAGTTGCCATGGCCACGGCGCTAGCGGTTTCGTCATCCATCGCTGTACCGCGTACGAAGCGGCAGTAGTTGCAGTCGGACCGCATGAGCTCCGACGTCTTATAATCCTCCCATGTGCCATCAATGAAGCCCTCGGCATTGTCACCGGGAACAACGTACGCCTTAAGAAGCTTGCTCCAGACAAGAGTCTGCTTCTCACTGTAAATATTTATTTAAAAAAAAAAAAAAAAAAAAAAAAACGTCAGAGAACACAATATTTCGAGACGGACGGAGTGAGGGAATATGTATAACTGAAAGGAATCAATAAAATGGTGAATTAACTTACAGTCGGCCAGCGAAATCGGGGCGGTAGGTTTGCCCGAGGACTCCGTGCACGTTCGCGGACAACTGAGCGCTGACGACCTCGATGGTGAAATGAACAAGTCCGTCGTCCTTGGTCCTCATCAGCTTGATCTCAGGCCTCAAAATCAGTCGCAGGGTGATGATTTCGGCAACCGAAATCTCGTAAATGTCGACGAGATCGTCGCCAACCTTCTTCCTCGCATCCACCCACTTCATCTCAACCGAACCGTCGAACAGGTACATCTTCTCGCCAGGGAACGACAGGCTAGTTTTCTCGCCATCGACGTAAATCGCCTTGAGGTAACCCGCACCGTACTCAGAATCAGGTCCAGGCCGAGCCTCGAAAACGACGGAGTGGTGGCCCCAGAGAATCGCGATGTTACGCATCCACGTCATCACCTTGTTCTTCTGACCCATCCACTCCTTCTCCACGCGCCCGCCGAAATACGCGGTAACGGCAATATGAGCGTCGGAGATCAGAGCGAAGTTCTCGCCGGGCTGGCCACTGAAGTCGAACCGCGACTTGTCGGCACCAACGAAATGGGGATCCCCGGTAACGTTACCGTCGCAGACCTTTCCAACAAAGAACTCGGAAGGAGGCTGGTAATCGTTGGTGGAATCGAAGAAAAAGTCCATCGTGTTGTCGGGATTGTAGTGGTTCTGCGTACAAACGCCCTCGTCGTAGCAAGAGCACACACCTGAAGGAGGAAGAGCGCGCGAGACAAAATACAATCGGGTCAGACGAAGTGCCAAAAATACAAAGAGCAATTGAACAAAGGATGACATTAACCAAGAACAAAAAAAACTGTCCAATAAAAAAAAAACCGGTAGTTCTTACCTCCAACGTCGCATGTCTTCTCGTACTGCCAGTACTTGATCTGCGGGAGATCCGCCTTGGCCATCTTGCAAATCTTCCAGCAATCGAAGAACGGCGTATCGAGGGCAACATCCCATTCAGGCGACTCGGGATCATTCTTCATCAACGGCTTGGAGTACAGCCACTCGTACGAAATATCCTCGCTATCAGAGTCCGTGAAAGTTCCATTAAAGTGGGACCCGGGTGTACACGTGAACGCCGGGCAGTTACCGTACTTCGAACCCTCCTGTCCGGGATAAATCAGGGTGGTGTTGACCTTTAGTCCCGTACCGCCGGAGGTAGTCGTGCTTCCGCCGGTGCTGCTGCTACCGCCGCTTGTCGTGCTTCCGCCAGAGCTGCTGCTACCGCCACTGTTCGTGTTGCCGCCGCTGGTCGTGCTGCCACCGGTCTTAGTGCCACCGACGGTGTTCGTGCCGCCAACGGTGTTCGTACCGCCAACAGTGTTCGTACCGCCAACGGTGTTCGTACCGCCAACGGTGTTCGTACCGCCGACGGTGTTCGTGCCGCCGACGGTGTTCGTGCCGCCGACGGTGTTCGTGCCGCCGACGCTGGTGGAACTGCCGCCGCTGGTGGAACTGCCGCCGCTGGTGGAACTGCCGCCGCTGGTGGTACTGCCACCAGTCTTAGTGCCGCCAACGGTGTTGGTGCCGCCAACTGTGTTAGTGCCGCCAACTGTGTTAGTGCCGCCAACTGTGTTAGTGCCGCCAACTGTGTTAGTGCCGCCAACGCTGCCGCGAGTGGTGGTACTACCGCCGCTGGTGGTACTGCCAACTGTGTTGGTGCCACCTACAGTTACCGTGGGAACAGCGATGACATATGGAACTAGGAGTGCCAATAACACACAGGCTACGACTGACCTACCCATCTCTAATCTCTACCTCGAATTCCAATGCAGTCAGTTCGTCCAAGGGGAATCGAGGCCACTGTCAGAAGGGGATGTCTTAGAGTCTGAGGACGACTAACCAAACAATCCAGATGATGCTAGAGGGGTTGAGGGGAAGAAAGTTGAGAAAGGAAGGAGGAGCACGAAGCCCTGGATAGAGAGTAGGGTTGGTGTTATCGGGAGTAACAGCTGTGGCGAGGGGACATGAAGGGGTTGTGTTGATCTTGGCTTGTCGTTTTCAGGGGGGTCGTCGTATCAATTGTGCGCTTCAGGTGGTTTGTTCGTGACATGGGGGTCGTTTGCATTCAGGTGGATAGCCAGCATCTCCGTGAACAGATCCAGCATCAACCGTCCGAATGTGCAAACCACCTGGACGAAAGTAACACTGCCTGGGAATCAGATTGCGAACCTCGTTGAAGCAACCTCAACGCTCGGAAGCAGTAAACGTTCCACGGCGCAGATGAAATTGTATGTGTGCCCACCAAACCCGAAATGCACGTTTCTTTCATCCACTGCTCATCCACCCGATTTTCACCACGGGCAGCTTCAGGCACCCAATAGCACAATCACGATGAAAACAGCCTGTCAAATTTGATGCTTTCCTTCACACTCGCTTTTCCACCGCACGACAAACCTGTTGTCACTGTAGTTGAGCCACGCGTAGTTTCAGCTGGCTCACTTGTCCAAACCATGCACTCCAACCTCATCGCGGACTTGACCAACTACTTAAACTCCACCACAAAACGCGGTATCGGCAGAACTGTATAAAACGTATAGTACAGAAGCAAAAATTACTCCTATTATGTATGGATGGTATAAATGTCAAAATTGCATTCCTGCAATCATACGGTACCAATGTTGTAATCTTACTCCACATAGTTATTATGAGTGAAATATCGTAGTTGATATGATAAGTCTGTCAAGTTTGAGAGAAGACAATAAAGTCTTTGTGTATGGCCCCGGATATAGGCGCCGTCCGATTAAAGGCGCCGGCGCCTCTATCTGGAGCATGGCGCTTATGGCCGTTCCTTGATTATAAGCGCCCCCCCCTAGAAAACGTTTACTTATTATAAGCGCACGTGCAATTCTAGTTTAAATTCTTGCTTAAAACGGTAACGAAATTCATTTTTGCAGCGAGTCAGGTTTCGATTTCGCTTGGTTTGACTCGCGAAGACCTGACTGGCTGCACGTATAGTCAGGATCTGCTGGCATGACGTGTCTTTGCCTGTGTGTGCACCCAGAATATCGCTTGCGCGAGATTTTGTTTTGTGACGCTAAAGCATTTCGACTCGGTTGAAATGGCAAGAAGAAAATGAACAATTTGGTGATCTAAATATATAATTTCATTTTTGTCATTACATAAGCGCCGGCGCTTATGGCCGTTACTCAATTACAAGCGCCCCCCCTCAAAAAAATGAATTTATTATAAGCGCATATGCGCTTATATCCGGGGTAATACGGTAATACGTTGAAAGGGAACAATATGATTAAAAGATAGTGGTACAAAGATATAATTAGCAATCGTGGCCAGCCATGTACTCTGAGGGGTACATTCCCTTACTAACTGAATTGCATTGCTACAGTAACCACGACTAATGCTATTCTCGACAGCTACCGTGTTGCATCGCGTAGCTTCCAAGCGCGGTTACTGGACAGTCAAGGGTCACGACCGTTGACTACCTTTGACTGTTGACCTTCGGGTGACCCTCGACCTTCCGCATGCTCTATATGAGCTATTGCGATAATGATACAGGCGCGTAGCTTCGTTATAGAGTGACGCGCGAATGGAGAGCCTTCGGGAATGTTACTGTTGTCAGAATACTGAGTGAGGATGAATGCATTGAACAGAAAGTTGGTGAAAAGTTATAACCCTAATTGGGTTGTACCCCTTATGGGCCTACACAATGCAAGCATTATAACATTTTGACACACCCCCATAGGCAAAGTGGGGAAGAACAAGTGGTCGCAAAGTCAACACACATGCAGAATTACATAGAAGAGAACAAACAGTACAGTGATCTTACCCTAGCAAGTGTAAGCATGCATATATTGGCATATATATAGATCACAGTACAAGCAAAGTCACACAGTGAGAAAGTGAGGCAAAGTAGACACAAGGCCTAAAACAGTACAGAAACGCTGATGATCATCAGACTGAAGTGCCTTGGTGAATATATCAGCAGTATTGGCCCGAGTGGCCACGTAAGCAAGACGAAGCTGACCACACAGCTGCAACTCTCGGGCAAGGAAGTAACGCAGAGCGATGTGCTTCGTTTTGTGCTACAGTCTGTGCTCCTAATACAAGGCAATCATGGCCTAGTTGTCTACGTACAGAACTGGAGAAGAACGAGGCCGCTCTCCCAAGTCGGTCAGCAGGTAGGTGGGCCAGCGTAACTCCTGTGCAGCCATGGCCGCTGCGTAGATCACAGCCTCACAACTGGAACTGAGAACAGAAGACGAGCCGGTAGACCGCCAAGAAACAGAGCCAGAGCCAAGGCTGAAAGTGTAACCCAGTGACGTCCGCTGCGTAGCCAAGTCGTCAACCCAAGAAGCGTCTGCGTGACCGGTGAGGACAATTGGACCCCGTCCTCCAAGCACGAGCCCCATGCATGACGTACTGCACAAGTAGCGCAGTACCCTCTTCGCAGCATCCCAGTGCACCTTTCGGTGCCTACCGGGAGCCACGTAGCGAGCCAAGAGGCTGAGAGGGTTCGCGAGGTCAGGTCGTGTGCACGTCATCAGGTACATGAGGCAACCCACAAGCTCTGGGTATGGACCACTCGGCTCTACGGACTCGTCCGAAGGTGGAGATGAGAGCGAGTGGCTGGTAGACAGAGGATTGGGTTGTGGCGAAGAGAATCGGAAGGCGAAGTGCTGAAGGACCAGGTGCACCATGTGTGACTGAGTCAGGGTGATGGTGCGCCGTGCTCTGTCCCGGGTGATCTGCAAGCCAAGATAGTTGCGTAGTTCACCCAGGTCAGTGCAGGTGTGTCTCTTTTGCAGCTCTGACATCACAAGGGTCACTCCGTGTCAGCAGTGGCAAAGACGAGGTTGTCGACGTACACGAGGACGTAGAACGGCGGCAGGGAGGTGTCGGTGCGTAGAAACAACGACGGGTCAGCAGTAGAAGGAGCAAACCCAAGAGCCGCAAGTGTAGTCCTCAGTGTGTCGTGCCACTCGCGAGGCGCCTGGCGGAGCGTAGACTGGCCGCCGGAGGATCCACTGGGTACCTGCAGGAAACGACCCAATAAAGCCAGGTGGGCGGCGCAACCAGATCTCCTCGTGCAGGCTGCCTTGTAAGAAAGCTGTGCTGAAGTCAAGAGAGTGCAGCTCGTAGTCACGCTGAGTGGCAACGTGTAGCAGAACCCGAAGGTTGGTCATCTTTGGGGTAGGGGAGAAGGTCTGGAAGAAGTCAACTCCCTGTCATTGACTGAAGCCTCGTGCAACGTAACCAGCCTTGAAGACAGGCGGAGAACCCGGCGGCCGTTTCACCCTAAAAATCTACATGCCATCAACTATGTTCGCCCCAGAAGGGGGAACTGCATCGACGTAGGTGCCTATGGACATCCAGGATGCCATCTCTGCATCCATCGCTGTCTGTCACTAAGAGGAGTAGGGACCCGTAATCGCCTCTGCGTAAGAGCGTGGGATCGGGATGTCAAGTGCATCCGTCTCTCCCTCAGGTGCAAGCAGCATGGGCACGAGATGAGGTACAGCAACCGCAAGACACTCAAAGCCCTCCTGCATGTCCTCAAGGACGTCAATGCCAAGAGCAGACTCACCCCCGACGGACGGAGGACATTCAGACTCAGACTCAGCAACAAGACTAGCGACGTAGTCGAGACGACAGGCAGCAGCAAAGTCAACAAGCTCAGCAACAAGGGCAGACGCAGCAATGGAATCAAACAGATGGTCATTGACAACAGTGGCTAGAAGACGAGGGACAGTATGACTGGCAGCACGAGCTATGTCAGACTCAAGGTCAGGAACGTCAGGAAGAGAGGGTGCAGGAGGAGACGGCAGGGGAACTCGCAGTGGAACAGAGGAAGGACGAAGCGCCATAATGTGAGTGCCGGGGACAAAAGGAGGACGCGGACGAGGAACACGGCGACCAGTGCTAACAGCGCGAACAGGTGAGGCAGGACAAGACTCAGGCTCACGACGCTCTGTAAGAGAGTCTGCCTGCTCAGCGTGAGCAGGCAGTGGGGAGTCTGGCTGTAACTGTGGCTGCGATTGGTGAGGCGGTGGACACAGTAAGCTAGGAGGAAGGCCAGTAGAAGATGGGAGACTAAGAACCTGGCGAAGGACCGAGTCAGGTGGCGGCAGAGACGACGGCTGCGGCGGAACGAAAAACGGGCGCCGCTGCACAGTGCCTCCAGCACCGGGAGCGCCAGCTCCAGCACCTCTAGCGCGAGCACCTCCAGCTCCAGGGTCTCCAGCTCCAGCGCCAGCACCTCTAGCGCCAGCTCCTCCAGCTCTAGTGCCTCCAGCTCCATCTCCTCCAGCTCCTCCAGCTCCAGCGCCTCCAGCTCTAGTGCCTCGAGCTCCAGTGTCTCCAGCTCCAGCTCCTCCAGCTCCAAGGTCTCCAGCTCAAGTGCCTCCAGCTCCAGGCTCCCCAGCTTTGGCAGCTCCAGTACCCTTAGTACGAGCACCTCTAGCACCTTAGGTAACTTCAGCCCCGGCAGTAACTCCAGCACCTCCAGGACTACAGGCCCCAGCACCTCCAGCTCCAGTGCCTCCAGCTCCAGCGCCTCCAGCGCTAGTGCCTACATCTCGAGGGTCTCGGACTCCAGTGCCTCCAGCGCTAGGGTCTCGAGCTCCAGCGCCTCCAACACCACCAGCTCCGGCAGCTCCAGTACTAATAGTACGAGCACCTCCAGGACCAGCAGCTCCAGCACCTCCAGCTCCAGTGCCTCCAGCGGCAGAGCCTCCAGCTCCTGCAGCACCACTCCTAACGCGTCTGCGCTGAGAAAACCACTCTC